TCGGTGCTGTGCTTTTTTTGGAAATCGAATTTCCCAGAGGAACCCACCCGAGGGATTAATAAAGTTCTATCTAATCTAATCTAATCTAATCACTGTGATCAAACACATCACAACCCATTTGCATCTGGTCAAATCAGCTGGTAAACACACCAGCTTTTATTTCTCTGGTAGTTTATGTCATACAAGCTTGTATTAAACCCTGGATGTTTCCATTGTGACAGGTAAATGTGTATATTTATTGACTCATATTACCAATTATTTTCCTATGTGTGTGTGTCACACACTTAATATTAAATATCTATACCAGATTCTGCAGCTTCTAATAAACTTTGACATATTTCAGTCTTGACTTACAAGGGGATTGACTCACATTGTGACATGACAAAGCTACACCAACAGGGTGGCTAAAAAAAGTTTAGAGTTAAATAAAATGTTCAAATTGGACCATACAGGAGCTTTAAATAAACCAAAGCATAAAAACATGAAAGTAACACACAAACATCTGTTAATCATGTGGTTTTATTGAAACACTGGAATACATTTTCCTTCAACACTGATGCGGTTTCCACACTTGAAACAGCAGAGTATAAAAAATGTAAAGACTACAATCCTAAGAGCATGTAGACGGAGTGAAACCTTTTTTAATAGATTTCTATGAGCAGTACCACACAAACTGACATAGCATTAGTAGGTTCTTTGATATTTGGAGACACCAGAAATATAAACACACAATGAAAACATTAATGCGTGCACTTTGACTATATGCTTTCCTTGTTTTTTTCAGATATGTTCTTACAATAGATTGTAGTTCGCAGACACACACATTCCATAACAAGAGCAAAACCTAGGCTACCAATCATCTTTAACATCATGTAAACCAATTCATAACTTCTTTAAATCATTGAAGTGTTGATATCATGAACTTAAAAAAAAACTAATTGCTAGAACCCAAAAACTCAACATTATCGTTGTTTTTATTCCACTCTGTCTTTTCTACATGCACACAGCATTTTTTTGAATCTTCCTTTGGAAAATCTGTTGACAGATTACTACTATCCAAAGCATCCCTGCATACATGAAAACTGTATTTTCTGTATTAAAATGGGAATTGATTTTTGAGTAATATCAGCAGATTCCAGCAATCACATTCAGGTCTCTATATAAAAGATAAGAGTCTATTTGGGTGACTGGAAGCAAATATTTGCCATTTACATGCCCCAATACATGAACAGAAAGTCATATTGTTGTATGTGTAGACACAACCACTAACTTGCTTCCAACTCCTCCCATCTCTCTCTCTCTCTCTCTCTCTCTCTTCCTCTCTAAGAAATTCAGTCATGCAGTATACTTCACACAAAATTAAATTCGGCAAGGTTTCAGGGCTAATTTTTAAAGTTTCAGGCCAAAATGAGCGCAAGATCTGTGTTTTGATCAGCCGAATATGTCAATCTTTGCCTATGAAAAGCTTTGTTCATGGCTTGAGCACACTCTCTTTTGAGTTTTTTAAAATGCATTTCCATATTTACTACTGTACAGTTACCTTGGGCCATAGGGCATGCTTTTCTCCTTCTGTCTGGTTCTAGCAAAAGTCAAATCATATCATTTTCAGGGTAAATTTCAAACAACAAATTGAGTCATACAGGATTTGTCTCAGCTGTGCTATCATGCTAAAGTTTGCTCTTTAGCCTCCTATCACGACTTGTCCTCTAGTGATTCCATTAAAGTGACCAGAGTGCTAAACTGAGTATGCTTGCAGCAGTAACAGTGACAGCAGTTCCAAAGCCTTTATCAAAGTGGGCAAATTCAATTTTATTTGGAGCATACTGCTAGCCTGACTTCTTGTTTTTTAAGCATTGACAAATACTAGACGGGTGGAGTAGATCAGGTCTGCCAGGTAGAGGATGAAGTTGATAGCAGTGAGTAGAGCCACTGCCATGCGCTTATCCCATGAACACAACCCCGATTCTGTGCTGCAGCTGTATGGCCTATCTCTATTCCCACCATGCCTGGGGTCAAAGTTGAAGATAGGCCAGATGATGGTTGCTGACAGGTAGAGGACCACGGCCAGCATGGCGTAGGCTGACAGGAACCGGGGGAATGGGAAAGGCAAGCACCCGGTACACTCGCCTATACAGAGCAGGATGATGGCTGCTGACAGGATGAAGCAGATGCAGTAGACAGCCATGCAGTACTTCAGTGCATGGTGATGGTCGTACAACACGGGATCAGTCACAAAGACAAAGATGATGCAGGCCACGAAGGTCTCACAGACTTTCAATAGTCCAGGTCCTGTGGCCATGTAGCCGGCCACCTCACCCGGACACGCCTTGCTGATGGTCACCTCACTTATGTAAGCAATAGTAGCCAAGCAGGAGAAGACGGCTGCTATGATGCTGTAATCGCGGATTGTACTGGGGCCCATAGAACCTTTGAGGAAATAGAGTGGGAAGATGATAGAGGCGGACAAACAGAGTAGGGCAGCGTAGCAGGCAAAGGTGATAGGGAAGTTCTTCCAGGAAACAGGGACTTTCGTCTGCAGACCGAAGAGCTCCACCAGAATCACGAGCAGAGTGCCGGCAAAGCTGAAGGCCCAGCAGAAGATGCACCAGTCTCCGGTGCCGGGGATGATCCTGGCACCATGCACAGCCACAGAGCATGCCACACAGGAGAAAGCCAGGGCTGCCAGCCGTGTCCACAGCAGAGGGTTGAAGTGGAGGACTATTGCCATGATGAGAGGTGAATTGGGCGATGAGAGAAGCAGAACAGATTCCTCCTATTTGTTGGAGTTTCCTCTGTCAGGCAGAGAAAATTGTAAGAAAAAGAAAATGATTAGTGGTATTCTAGAGTCTGATGCAACTTTTTATGGCTCCAGATGAAATACAAGCTATAACTATGTGAGGCCAGCAGTCTGTGCCCAAAGAGAGTCAGTCCTCCTACATAATAATTTCTGA